GCCCTGGGGCAATTTAGGGCCATCATAGGGACTCGGAGACTGCAGGAAGAGAGGTGGTCAGTGCCTTTTCAGTGAAGGAGTCTCCGAGGGCACTAATGGGAGTGAATGTTCAACGTATTTTGAATAGATCTTAGAGCCTTTGTTGGAGGGATCCCCATTGAAGGTGGGCTGATTTGTAAGTATCAGTATCAGTGAGATTAAGTGAAATTTATAAATGAGGAATATGTTGCCACCAGGCCCAAAATAATACTAAATAGCATTATTGTCTAAAACTAGTCCCCAAAAGGACTAAAAGATGTTGGACTTACATATCCATAATGAGTATGTCAAATGAGTCTCCTTGGACAAGGCTCTCTCGTCAGTGTCAAGTCACCTCTGTGCTCCTGGAGAAAGGTGGGCGCAGTTGAGATCTTGTGTGCAGAGACTGTGTGTGATGGCAGAGCTACTGAGCTAGCCCACAGGTAGCCTGGAAAAGGGGTCCTGTTTCCCTTCCCACGGGAAGGAGACTGGCTGAGAGGCTGTTGAAATAGGCCCCGGACAGAACATATTACCCAAGTCTATAAGCACAAAATAATTACTGGTTGTCGACTGGATAACATTAGTAATTTTAATGATATTGGATATTGGGTATGTGGACTGTATTAGTCAGCTCAGGCTGCGTTTACTGTGTGGCTTAAACAACAGAAGTTTATTGTCACACGGTTCTGGAGGCTGAAAGTCCCAGATCCAGGTGCCAGCAGATCAGTTTCCGATGAAGATCTCTTCCTGGCCACCTTCTTTCTGTGTCCTCACCTGGCCTTTTCTCTGGCTGAGCGAGGCTTTCTGTTCTATAAAGACACCAGAGCTGCCACATTAGGGCCCCACCCCCTGACCTCATTTAACCTTAATTACCTCCTTAAAGGCCCTATCCCCAAATATCACATTGGGGGTTAGGGCTTAACATAGGAAATTTAGGAGTCACAGTTCAGTCCATAACAGGGAGCATAATGGACGAGACCACAGTGGTAAGGTTGTGGTAACCTACCAGGAGGTGCCCTTTATCTTTCCGAGGTTTAAGAACAGGCACAATAGGGCTGTAAATGGAGAAGCAGCAGTGATAGTCACCCCTTTATTAATTACGTTTTATACAGTAAATTTTACTTTCCAAAGGCCCTTTTTCAACTTATGTTGAGCCTGTTAGCTATTTTAACTGGGGTCTATAGGGTCCCATTTTATCCAGCCAATTTGTAAGTGCCAAAAATTTATTTAATAGTGTATTGTGTCAGAGCATCTATGCCCAGTAGGGGGCAGTGGGTACTATGACTATGGGAAATTTAGGCAAGGCTACAGTTAGAATGAGGCATACCTATTTTTCCTATTTTATATTTAGTAACTTTTATTTATTTATTTATTTATCGTGAGGAAGATCAGCCCTGAGCTAACATCATGCCAATCCTCCTCTTTTTGCAGAGGAAGACTGGCCCTGGGCTAACATCTGTGCCCATCTTCCTCCACTTTATATGGGACGCCGCCACAACATGGCTTGACAAGCGGTGCATTGGTGCGTGCCCAGGATCCGAACCTGGGCCGCTGGCAGCGGAGCGTGCACACTTAACCGCTACACCACGGGGCCGGCCCCCTGTATTTAGTAACTTTAAAAAAAAAATTATTTTATTGAGGTCATATTGGCTTATAACATTGTGTAAATTTCAGGTGTACGTTATTGTATTTCAGTTTCTGTATAGGCTGCATCATGTTCACCATCAATGGTCTAGTTTTTATTTGTCACCATACATATGTGCCCCTGTATATTTAGTTACTTTTTAAGATTGGGGAGTACAATGTTTAAATTTAGTGGAATTCCCACGTATAGCTGTATTTTGAGCCCCAGTATTAAGTTCATGAAGTTTGTCAGTTGGTGCATTTTAGCAAATTCTGAAGTTAATTTAGAACCTATATTGTAGAGGCACAAAACCAATCAGTTCCTTGTTTTGTGTTTGTAATACCAAATTTCTTAGTATATAAATTTTATTGTATTTATGCTATATACTCAATTATTATCTAATTTGTTATGTAAATTATGTGAATTTTTGGTATATAAATTTTGGATTTCTGGCTGGGTCCAATTATAGACAGTATTTTAATTTAGTTACATGTTGTATATTATTTGGATTCCTTGTATTTTTCCCCCTGTATCTAGGAGTTTGTTTTTTGTTACTGTTTTTAAATCAATAGTCTAGAACGAGTATTCTGTTTGCTAGACCTGGCATTTGCTGGGTACATAAGCTTTAAAGACCCCTCCCTTTTTTTTTTTTTCCTATTGGGCTTTGGCCTCCTGAAGCCTTGGTTTTTAGTTTGTCTCTTGCTGATGAGAGGAAGGTGGGAGGGGCCTGGTCGGGCAGCAGCCTCCCTGGGATTAGTACCCCCCGTTTTTCTTTTTTTTGTTCCCTTTCCAAACAAAATCTTTTTTTTCTTCCTCTTCTGTTCGGTCACCTCTTTTTCTCTAACCATTTTTCTTTCTTTTATTTAGGTTATTTACCTGATAAGCTCCTGGCAGTCCCAAGTGGCCTGTGCTGAGTGGCGGCCTCCCTTTCTGGGGTGTCCCAAACAACCGCACAGGGGCCGGGGCTTACATCTGGGAGAGCAGTGGTTGTGTGACTGACTGTGTGAAGGTTTGGTTTGAAGGAGGAGACTCTTAGAATGCTGATAGGCAGCAGCACTCAGAAGCACCCAGACACATTGGCCAGAGGATGTACAATCTCAAATGAATTGAGAAACCACCTCAGTTTCTCAATGGGAAGCAGGAACAAGATACTCCATTGTAGTTGAACCACCAGTCTCCAAGGGTGGGATCCCTTGTACCCTGCTGGGTCGGGGGACAGACTGCCTCAGCAGTAAGGCAGCAACAATAACAAGACTGGCCCTTGAAGTAGTTTAAGCCTCGTCTGTGCCATGGCATCTGTGAGGAGGGCGCCCCACGCCACATCGCCGGTGCATCCCTGTATTGCACCAGGGACCTGTGCCTAGACCCTTCACCAGGGAGGCCCTCTTGAAAGGACAGGCCGATGCCATCAGTCTTCTATAGATGGGAGGGAGAGTAACTCATTGAGCAGCCACCACTGACTTCAGGGTTGTTGGCACACTTCCATTCCCAGCACACTCTCTGGGGGGACCTTAGCTTGTACAACAGCCAGTTATCCTAGATGCCCTGAGGTCACTAGCCCAGAAACTTGGTCTCTTGACCACAGAAAATCAGACTGATGGGATCATCTCTTCCAGATAAGGTACCAAGTGGGGAATGACAGCCCTTGAAGACTTAGATGATCACACTTTTAGACTACAAAAGGGACCCGAGGAGCACTCCTTCAATACTTTACTTAGGATCGGAAAAAAGACTTAGATCAATGAAGACACATATTTTGTCTTATATTATTCCATTGATTTATTCAATTTTAAATGACGTGCATTTAAATAGCTTGGCATGTTCCTTGGGATATGGTTACACCATATAAATATTAGTTTTTGACTTACTATTAGCATTAAAAATTCCACAGCAATGTGGCAGATTGATTAAATACCTGGATTCAGGAGCCACAGTTTAGTGAAGTCTTCTTAGGCAGTGACATTTGAGCTGAGACCCAAAGAGTTCAAGTTAGCTAGACGGAGCAAGGTGGGGAGAGAACAGTGTTCCAGGTAGAATGGCCAACATGTGCAAAGGCCCTGAGGTCACAGGGGGAATGACACCTGACAGAGCTGAGGGAAGGTCTCATTCACCTTTCTCCTGCCCCATCACTGAGTCCTGTGCTGGGCATGTAGCAGACATGAGTGTGTGTTTACTAAGTGACAACTAATGAATCCTGGGCTGCGGTTCAGGATCTGACAGAGGAGCCTTCTGTGGGACCTGGTGTCTCTCTCAATGACTTCTCTATAGACACCTTGTGTCTTTTTTCCCCCTACATCCATGTTTGGCTGCGTGTGACGGAGCAGCTCAGTCTTCATCCTGAAGGAAATTTGTTGTCTCACCTAAGAAGTTTAGACGTGGAGCTGGCTTCCGGGTTGGTGGGTACCAACCCAGTTCCCTGTTTCTTTGCTTCCTCTCCTTGGTCTAGGTCCTTAGGCAGATTCCTGCACAAAAGCCCCAGGATGCTACAAGACAATGGGAGCGGCAGATCCCTCATTCAGCCATTCTGGAATAAAGCTTTCTCCTCACAGAGTGGCTGGTGTGGGTCACCTGCCTGCCTCAAACTATTGGTGATTGAGGAATGCCACTGGCAAGTTGGTGGAGACAAGGCTATTTCAACCCTTCCTTGATGCCAGAATCGTCTGGGGAGGTTCTTAAATCTGCTAACATCCAGGCCTCACCTGCAGAGATTGCTTTCAGTTGAATGTGAGCCAGACATCCCAGGAGGTTTTCATGCACAGGTGGTTGAGACCCACTTAACTTGAATTAGTAAGAAAATATCTTCCAGGGCCGGCCCCGTGGCTTAGCGGTTAAGTGCACGCGCTCCGCTGCTGGCGGCCCGGGTTCGGATCCCGGGCGCGCACTGACGCACTGCTTCTCCG